TTGTTAAAATTAACAGGATCGCATAATTTCATATTTTGCGGGCTCAGTTTGCATAATTTCAGAAATTTGTTTGCATAAAACCGCTGGGACAGACAATTGGGGAGAAAGAAACAGTAGTGGGCACCTCTTTACAAAACAGCCAAGACATGCTTGGTTTCATTTTCAAGGTCATTAGAATAACGGGCATGGATATCATCACTACATGTATTTTTAAACTCTATTTTGCCACACAGCAGTACACGTAGTAGCAAAGATTCTCCGCGAAATAAGCGAGGCGACAACGAACCTGATATGGCGCACTTTCCTCAAAAGCAACCCCAGGCCGCCACAATTCTTGATAAAAACAAAAAACTTTCTCAAAAAGAACTTCAAATACAACACACACATTCAAAATTTACATTGGCCTAACATAAAAAGACAAAAGGTGGATTTTTCCATCAGTGTTTATTTCATTCCAAAAGAGTCACTGTGATTGTGAAGTGAGAAATAGGAGAAAGAAACAGTACCAGGTAGTCGGCAATTATAATCAATCGGAAGCACGCGCCTGTGGTACCTAGTAGTAGTTTTAGTAAAAAGTTTTATGGCCCTTGTAACATAATTAGGTCATAATATATAATAAGTAAGTGCCGAAGATTAGAGGTGTTGCAAGAAAGTAACAAACCCATAAAAGAAGAAGGAGAGATAAGAACGTTATACATTTGATTGATAGGGGAAAAAGGAGCAAACCACATGTACCAGAGTCCCCGCCATCAGTCCACTTTCTCATCTGCTCGAAATACAAATCCTAACCCCCCCAAAAAAACAACAACAACAACCCCCAAAACCCCCCAACCCCAACCAGCAACAAGTCTTAGCAGTGTGTAGTTGTGGGTGTCTTGTGCCCTCGTCGACATTACTTAGATCATTTAGGAAGCTGGCTGCTTCCACCCCGCACTCTCAGGCCAGCCCGGGTTAAGAAGAACACCATGTCCCCAGCAGACGGGAATACTGGAGGGGAAAAAATCCCAGCTCTCCACTTGGGAATTGTTTTAGTTTTAGTAGAGGTTTTACGGCGCTCGCAGCTGCATAAGGTCATATGAGCGCCAGAAGATTAGAGGTGTTACAAGAGAGTAATAAAACGTAAAAAAGAAGGAGGGGAGATAAGGAAGATAGATGTCTGATAGGAAAGAAGAAGCAAACCACACCAGAGCACCCGCCAACCACCCACCCTCTTGAAATTAAAACCCAGGTCTTCTGTGCGTGATGGCAAAACACCAACCGCTACGCTACACTACAGACGCCGGTTTGACTGATTGATCGATTGACTGAGGTGTTTTACGCACTATCGACTCAATTTTGGCAGACGCCGGTAACAATTGCGTTTGTTCCAGTAAAGATAAACAGATCCACACAATAACGATCAACGAATTAAAAAAGAGTAAAAAGCATTTTAAAAACAAGTTTTAGTAAAAGTTTTATGCTAAGCCTACTTGCAACACAAATAGGTCATTTAAGTGCCGAAGATTAGGAGGTGTGACGTGATACATGTAGTAACATACAAACAAAAGAAAGAGAGATAAGAACGATAGATCCAGACGTTTGATAGAAGAGAAGGGGCAAACCACAGCAGAGCAACCGCCAACCACCCACCAAGTACTTTTTTAGTAAGAGTTTTACGGCACTTGCAACACAATCAGGACACATAAGTGCCGAAGATTAGAGGTGTTAGATAAAGACAGATTGCCCCATTAAAAAAATAAGAGAGAGAGAGAGAGGGAGGGAGG